ATTTTGTTTTGTTAAAAGGCATTTGGTAATGCAAAAACAATTCGTAATGATAATTCAAGTCGATTTGTAAATGAGAAAAATCCTTTAAAAAAAAAACCAAACTATTTTATTGATTTTAATTGTCTTAGGGTAAATATGTTGAAATACAATTTTCACGTGGTGGAGAACCTATAGGTGGTGCGATTTCAAATTTTCTTCTAGAAAAAGTAAGTAAAAATGAGGATCATTGAAAAAATTCAGCTAAATACCTTTTTTTTGCACTAATCTTTTTTTGCAGAAGAAAAAAAAATAAAGAACATGGAAGGTTTGAATTGAAATTTTTTAAATATACACATATCATGCACGACTGTTGTCTGCGAATTTTTATTTTTTTGATTCGATAAAATTTGAATATTTGAGCATGTCTTTTTGTTCTTTTTTTCTAGTCACGTGTTGTTAGTCAAGCTGAGAATGAACGTAATTTTCATATTTTTTATCAATTACTATCAAGCAGAGAATTTTGTCGTATGTGTTGTTTTTTTGTTTTTCGTGCTAATTTTTCTTTTTCTTATATGTTAGAACAATATTCATTATCACATGAGCTTCGTTTTCAATATATTAACCATGCTGAATCTAGTAGAGTTCAAAAAATTGATGATATAAAAGAAATGCAACATACACTAGTATGTTTTACATCTGATTAAATCATTTTTTTGTCTCTATTATAAATATATTCGTTTTATTAGCATGCAATGGATGTTATGGGTTTTTCATCAGAAATAAAACAAAGTATATTTAGTTTACTTGCTGGTATATTACATTTAGGCAATGTTCAATTCGGTGATAAGAATAATTATGCTACTGTCCTATCAGAACGAGGCATGTTTTTTCTTCTCTCTTATAATTGTTTTTTTCTTCGTATTTAACCATGTTCTGATTTCTTCAGATCTACAAGCTCCTTGTGCTTATTTTGGTATTCAAATAGATTATTTAAAAACGAAATTAATTTCAAAACGACTCGAATTTAAAGAACATCAAAAAAATGAACTGATCGATCAAACATTTACTGTTGACAAAGCTATATTTACACGTGATGCATTAGCTAAATCAATTTATTCTCGTATTTTTGATTACCTTATTCAAGTACAATAAATTTCTTATTTACTTTACAAAAGAAAAAATCTGTTTTTTTTTTCTTCTTTCTTATAGGGAGTTAATTTAGCATTTCAAACAACAGCTAAATCAGATTTATCTATCGGTATTCTTGATATATATGGCTTTGAAATATTTGAACGTAATAGTTTTGAACAATTTTGTATAAATTATGTTAATGAAAAGCTTCAACAAATCTTTATCGAATTAACATTAAAAAAAGAACAAGTTTGTTTTATTTAATATTATTTTAAAATTTATATTTTCTATTTATTTATTTATTTTAGGAGGAATATAAACGTGAAAATATTCAATGGTCACCAATATCATTTTTTAATAATATTGTTGTTTGTGATTTATTTGAAGCTAAACAACCACCAGGAATGTTTTTATTACTTGATGATATATGTCTTAGTTCACATGCAACAACAGAAAAAGTTGATAAAAGTTATTTACATGTAAGACAATGTGAATTGTTTAGATTTTTATTTTTCAAGTAAATTTCTTTTTTTTTTTTTTAAAGAAATTAAGTAGTTTATCAAATCAACATTTAATTGTTTCACCCCCGACATTTACTGTTAAACATTATGCTGGAGCTGTTATTTATCATTCAGATCAATTTTGTGAAAAGAATAGAGATATTTTAAATATTGATTTAATGGAAATGATGCAATCGAGTACAATGTAAGAAGCAAAAGTTTTAAAGAAAGAAAGAAAGAAAGAAATTTTTTTGTTGTCATTCTATTAAATAGACCATTTGTTGTACGACTGTTTCCTGAACAAACATCAACAATTAAATCTCGACCTACGACAGCTGGTACTAAAATTCGTACACAAGCAAATTTACTTGTAGAAAAATTAATGACTTGTCAACCACATTGTACGTAGAATTGTTCTATGTATTAATTAGGAGAAAAGGCCAAGTCATATTTTATTTTTGGATGCTTACCCCGGATGTCATCTAGCTGATTCATCGATTTTAGGTTGAGACTATGTACACTATAAAGATCCTCATGAGTTATGACTACTTGGAAAAGAGTCCAGACCTTCAAGCTTATTGCTATGAAAATACTGCCTTATTATGATATCTTTTAATTCAATACTGTGGTTCCTCTTAGAAGCATCATAAAAGCTGATATTCAAATTTCGATTAGAAACTTTGCACAGAGACAAACCACAATGAAAATAATTTATTGAAAAAGTTTCACATAGTTTTCCTGTTCCTGTCTTTAGATACAGTTCTGGTTAAAGCGTATATTTTACATCGTTCATATGCACGGGCAGATTCGATATTCTTGTTAAGGTTTGTTTCTATGCAAAGCTTCGAGTCGAAATTCGAAAATCAGTTTTTTGGTGTTCCTAAAGGAAAAAAAATACCTTAACAATGTAGTATCGTTGTTGTAATAGATTAAGCGCTCGAGCTCTTTTCAAAATATTCTTAATTCACTTGAGTTTACATGACGCATATAATTTCAACTCAAAAGTGATTTATCAGTTTGGTAACTTTCCTCGTTAGTTTCTCTATGGTATTGATACATATTTGGGATTCGACTGGAAATTAGGACAATAGCTATATGCGAGAGTCATACTATTTCAACACACTCTCTTTATAAAACCTGACAAATCGAATGACAAACAGTATGACTCTCACTCATAGCTATCACTTTAATTTCCAGTCTAATTTCAAATATGTATGAGCACCACTGCATCTTATAGTAAAATTTGATGTTCAAGTGCTGCACTCACCTTCTTCTCTCTAACTGTATGTTTGTTCATTCGTTTCAACTCCGTTATATTTCATATCAAGTACTAAGAGATAGAATTTCTCCATATATATATATATTGTCTTTTTAGACGTTCGATGTATTAAACCAAATGAAAATCAAGCACCTGGTGAATGGAATTCATCAAGGTTAAAAATATTTATTTACAAAATTTAAATAACTATAAAATTTTGAAATTTTTAGTGTTATTGAACAAGTTAAATATTTAGGACTTGTAGCTAATATTGAAGTTCGAAAAGCTGGTTTTGTTTATCGACGTGAATTTGCAAAATTTTTAAGCCGGTATATTGATTTGTTCTTTTTCTGATTCGATTTAAATTCTATTACTTCATTTAGATATGCTATATTGACAAAACAAACATGGCCTAAATGGAATGGAAAAGTAACAGATGGTGTTATGCATATTGTTGATACTATGCATCTTGATCGACGTGAAGTACAATTAGGCAATACAAAAGTATTTATTAAATCACCAGAAAGTGTAAGTAACAATTAGATTTTAATGTACAATATGATAAACATATTTATATTTTGATAAACAGATTATTTTGTATTTTCAAGTACTCTTTTGATGTACTTTTTCAAAACGAAAATAAAATATACTTTTTAAAAGTACAAAGTACATAATGAGTCATTCAGAATCTTGAATTAATTTAATATAATTTTAATAATTAATTTTATATTATAATAGTTACATATACTCGAAGATATGCGTTTACGAAAATTTGATAATTATGCACGTATTATTCAAAGAGCAATGAAACGTTTTTGTGCAGTACGTGTCTATCAAAAACAACGTGAACAAGGTAATGATTCATTTACAATATGGGTGGTTTTTTTTTTGTTGTTATTTGAATTATCATTCTTATTTATATAGCTACTGACATTTTATATGGACGAAAAGAACGTAATGCACGTTCACTTGATCGTGATTATGTTGGAGATTATTGTAATCTTCATCAACGACCTGATTTACAACGATTAATACCTCGTAGTGAAAAAACTGATTTTAGTTCATATTTATATAAATATGATCGACGTTTTCGTCGACAAGGACGATATTTTATTAGTACAAATCAAGCATTGTATATTATTGATGAAGAATGTGTATGTTAAAGAATTTTTCATTTTGTTTTTTTTTTCTATAAAAATAATATATATATATATATATACAGGTTAAAGTTGGTAGTGGTGGAAAATCGAATAGTTCTGCTGTTCAAAAAAATAAACAACCAGACGGTTATACAATAGAATATAAAATTAAACGACGTATTCCATTAGAAACTATTAATGAAATTAAAATGAGGTAAATAAAATATATATGAAGATAATTTAATGAAAATCTCTTTTTTTTCTCTTGTTTTTGTTTTCTTATTAAGTGAATATCGTGATAATTTTTTTTTAATTTGTGTAAATAATGATTACGCAACATTATTGGAATTATCAAGTAAAACCGAAGCAGTTTCAATTATTTTAAAGAATTATTTAAAAAAAACTAATCGTGTATTACCAATTACATTTGGACAAGGGTAAAATAATTTTGTTGTAAAATTAAAATAGAAAATTTCTTTTTCTTTTTCCTTTTGTAGATTTGATTATGCAGTTAAAAAACAAAGTTGGATTGGTAGCGGTACACGTAGTGTTAAATTTTCGCATGCAGCTACGGCTGCACTGATGGTAATATTTTAGAAAATGATCATTTTGCAATTTTATCAAATGTATTAAAGAACATAGGTAGCATAGTGTAAAGATGATATTGATCAATTTTTTTTCGTCATAGTTGGATAAAGTTCGTCGAGTTACCTATAGATCGGATATATTCGAACAATATTTTCGTAGTGAAAATTTAAGTTAAAAAGATCAGGAAAGTCTATAAAAATTGAAATACGCCGAAAGCATCTAGTCTTGATATTTATCCAAGTTTGTCTTTAATGATTTTACTCGTCATATAGTAAGGAAAAACAATTACACATTGTTTTTTTTTATAATTATTGTTTGATTGTTTAGAAAGAAAAGCAAAACTTCAATTCTGAAAGAAATACAGATTATATTCAGAATCAACGCAAAAACCTTCATCAACTGATATACTTAAAACTCGAACAAATCAAAGTATTCGAAAATAACAGTGAGGGAAGTGTACAGACCAAAATTAGGTTTAAGTATTGAATCTATTATTTGATACAAAATTTTTGTGCTGATTCTGAATATGATATTCCTGGAATTCTGAAAGATGCGCATGAGATAAAAAAAAAGAATGTGGGTGTAGGTTTAGGTGCAAGTATGAATGTTGGTCTTGTGTTCACTCAAACGAACATCGACACCCACACCCTCAGATACATATTGAAGTTACCAAGACATGATGCTTTTGGCGTATATCAATTTTTATAGGCGTTTTTAGTTTTGTTCAAAAATTCCGTTTTAATATGTCAGAAACAGCATTTGAATAGGTAACTCGACGAATTGTATACCACCATAGCAAAAAAAAATTTTTTGCTTAAATTTCAAATTTTCAACACCTTACAAGTATCTTGTAAACGTAATGGTGTGAAGCTAAATAAAATGGCTTTGGAGAAAAAAACAATGTTTGCTTTTAAGTTTCCGATCAATGATTTTAAAATCTCATTTTTTTGTTAAATAGAAATCTATTTTATTATATTGTAAAAGATTCTGATCGTTATCGAACATTACGTTCAAAGCTATTCATTGAATGATCTACTTTTATTTCAAAAGAAAATATTTTACAGATATCTCTTTCCGTTTATCAATTCGGATGAAACAATATGTTAAGTATGTTATGTCAACAAGTGAACTAGAAAAATCTTAATCTTTCAATGCATGGATTTTTATCTCTGATCGTTACATATCGAAATCACTTTTATATTCAATATAAATGTTAGAGGATACGTCTTTGAAGATTGTTGTTTAGATTTTAGTCTATATACTTAAGCATCATTATCGTTTTTTGTGTCAGTAAATCTATCTATATCTATTCTATTGCTTGCTAATAGTTATAAATCGATACTACAAGATTCATGTATTTTTAATAATATGATTAAATTTAGAATCAAATTGATCCAAAAAAATTACGTAAAGGTGTTGATATGCCCCGTGACTATGATGTCAAAATTAATCGTAATACAATGACTGTCATGGTTTCAAGTGGTTTACCAAAACAATCAAGTAAAATAATCAAAAATCAATTTTGTGTTTTTTTTAAATTGTTTTTTTTTCATTTAATACTATTCTCTAGGACCAAATCAAACAAACGCTGAAAAACCACGTGGATTACAATTTAAATCCACAAATAAGTCAGTACAAGATGTTTCAAAAGTCGCTTCCTAAAAATTTTTTCGTATATCTTTACTATTTGATTTAACTTAATCAACTATTTTTTTTAAGTCATAGGTCGATACGTCGAGTTTTTATTTACATGAGCAAATTTCACAAATACTGTTCAAAACTATCTTTTCAAGACATCTGTTTTGACATGCTCTCATAAAAAGAAATCCAATGATGTAAAGTCCGGTATCTATGAAACCTATGAGATCGTCCATCTCTTCTAATGCACTGATCGATAAACTTGACGTTCAACTAGTAGTGAATCGTCTTCAAGAAATAGACTGACATACCATCCTGTTGAGATATCATCTTTTTAGTAATCCTTCTTTTCTATAAAAATGGATAAAAAAAGGTTTTGAAGCATGTAAGTGCCATTTTGTTGATCAATTGCCAATTTTTCAAACAGAAAATGGTCCAATGACTAACTTGCTTGACATTACATACGACACCGTAAGCTTTGGTGAGTTCATAGCAACTTTCACAGTGGTAAAAGGTTTATTTTGGATCTACATACGACAGTTGTATTGCCTACAATATGTAAAGTCGTTTCGCCTGAAAGAAGATCTGATCATCTTTTTTTTTTATCACTAAGAATAGGCAACGAGATTTCAGCCATTTCATTACGTAAATTCTTGTCTTCAGGGTAAATTACATGCATTTATATCATTTGTATCCTAATACTGAACGCATGCATTGATGCACAATCAATTTTGAAATACTAACTTCTTAAGAAACACACCGACTATTGTTAATTGAGTTATTTGATAACACATCAGCAATTTTGTCTATTTTTTTGGTTGTTGCTGATAATAGTGTTCCTGATCGTTCATGGTCACGAACTGAACCCATTCAAATAAAATTGTCATCAACAGTTTTAATTTGGTTGTAATTGAAATGCACGCATTTTCGATTAGTTATGACTTAAAAAAGAAAAACTATCCTCCATTCTGATCAATTTCTGATGGAGAACAATTTGTGTTATACAAATGGAGTAATAATCCTATTTCTCGAAGACAGTTTGCTTCTAGTTGAATGACTAGTTTGATACTTGGTGCATTAGAAGAGTTGGACCGATCTCATGAGCTTCACGGTCATCGAACTGGACACTATTGGATTTGTTTTCATGGAGACACATCAAAACACATATATACTAAAGGTTTGGACCATTTAAAGATCAAAATAATCGAAGAAATTAAAAAAGAAATATTGCATAGTATTTTTCTAGATATCAAAAAAAAAAAACTAAACTTTTGTATTTCATTTAAAAAAAAAAGAATCGTGGGTAAATTTAAATCAAATCGTAAAGATATACGAAAAAACTTTTAGGAAGAGATTTTTGAGATAATCTGTATACTTCGTTTGATTTATTTTAATATACATATAATTCATTTAGCAGTTCTTCTCGAAAACCACCAACTAAACCTCCACGACCATTAGCTGCAAAACCGACGAAACAAAAAAAACTCCGAGCATTATATGATTTTCAAGCGCGATCAGCTGATGAACTTTCATTTGCTACTGACAATGAACTCTTACTTATTGATAATAGTGGTAAGAAATTCGATTTATTTCAATAGATTTATCCTTTCTGTTCTTTCTTTAGATGAAACTTGGTGGAAAGCAGAACTCGATGGGAAAACTGGTAAATAATTATTTCTTTTTTCTTTTCTAAAATTCTAGCTTATTTATTTGTTTTTTAGGAGTCGTACCGTCAAATTATGTTGAATTGATTGTCTGATTTTATTATTGCAATTGAAAGATTTACTCACAGTGACTGTTAATTGCTTTTTCATTAAATCTGTATTCCTTTTGTTTTTTGTTGTATTGTTTTCTTTCTCTCATCTTACGCACTTTATTATCTAAACTTGTTTCTTTTTTCTTGTTCACTTAAATGAACTGGGTTTTTTTGTTTTTTCTTCCTCAAATTTCATTTCTATACAGATTAATTTTGTCTTTATTTTTATATATTATTGATAATACTCGCTTCATTATTTGATCAAGTTATTACACATTCCGTATTTGATTTACAGAAAGAAAAAAAACACACGTGACGTTTTATCTTGTAGATGTCAATAGTAAATTCTGAATCGATAACAACATCAACTGTAATATCAAAAAAGAAGATTTTAAAGCAACAAAAAATGATTTCTATAATTTAGCGAACACCAGTTGTAATTATCAAGCCTATTCTTTATGGTAATACAGCGAAACATTTTGGTTCAAAACGAGATTCTGATGGACATACACATAAATGGGCACTTTATGTTCGATCATTTAATAATGATGATCTATCAACATATGTAAGTAAAGTACAATTTCGTTTACATGAAACATATCCAAATCATACAAGAGGTAAATTATGAATACGAGAATGATGTTTTGATTCTTTTTTTTTTTCTTTTTCTTAGTGATTACACAAGCACCATTTGAAGTAGAAGAAAGTGGTTGGGGTGAATTTGAAACACAGATAACAATCTTCTTTGCTGATCCCAATGAAAAACCTGTATGAGTTTGTTGTTAAAATTTTTTTTTTT